ATTATGTTTGAAGCTCAAGTAGACTTTAGATTTTTAAATTACATATTTTTCTTTACATCAGAAGCCACAGGAAAAACGTGTGCATTGTCACCTAGAGATAGATAAAGAACAACTATGCATATCAGTCAAGTCATTCACACAGTTATGATATGCCTAAAGCTGGTAGTAATTTATCAAGAACTAGGGGTGTTCAAATATCAATTATATTGCTTAATTACCATTGTGGGAATGACTGTAAGGAGGGTAGTCTAAAATAAAACAAGTTGGAAAGTCTGTTCTATCAGAAAGATTGTATTAATGTAGCATGAAGTATATCACATTTGTTACAAGGCAGCCACAGAGCAAGGAGTTAGAACATTGAGTCCATCTGGAGCCTGAGTCATTTACTTAAAATGACAGGGGTGCAGGTGGGTTGATTTGCCTGTGGCTTGGGGATGGAGAGAAAGATCACATCAGCCAGACTAATCCCTGCTTCTCAGTGAGTGCAGGCTTCAGGCATTTGCATTTCAGTTTTGCAATTTTGTTTCATCTGCAAAGCTTTTAGTGTTTTTTATTTGGAGATTTAACTATCACTGCTACCAACTTTAGCCTTTCTATGCAATTCTAGGCAAAATAATAATAATAATAATAATAATAATAATAATAATAATAATAATAATAATAATAATAATAAACAGTCTTTGCTATGTACTGAATGTTTGTGTCACCCCAATATTCATATATTGAAGCCTTAATCTCCAGTCTGATGGCTTTGGGAGGTGGGGTCTCTGGGAGGTAATTAGGGTTCAGTTAGGTTATAAAAGGTGCCTCTCTCGTGATGAAATTAGTGTCCTAATGAGAAGTAAAAAAGACAAGAGGTATCTGTGTGTGCTTGTGCCAAAGAAGGCTATGTGAAGACACCCTAGGAATAGAGCCCCCACCAAGAACCCAACCACGCGGGCAACCTGACCTTGCACTTCCAGCCCCTAGAACTGTGAGAAAGAGGCGACTGCTGTTTCAGCTTATCCAGTACGTGGTATCACGAAGGGTCAGGAACCTTGCAGTGCTCGCCATGCCTTATCTTCAAATGATGTCTCGTCTGCACCATGTTTCTGGGCTCTGTTTCACTCCTACATGACAGATCCCAAGGAAACAGCTACAACTCCACATGCCCATTTCCAAACACCGCCATTTCCAAAGTGTGGCTCCAGAGGAAGAAACGCTTTTCTCAGTTTGCTCTTTTTGTTACTCTCAAATCCAAATATATTGGGCTTATTTGTGTTTTAAGATGTGCTCATTCTACTGGAATAACAAAAAGTAACAAGGACAGGAAAAAATAATTTCAGAATCTTACAATTTCTTTTTTAGAGTCGTGGTCTTTTTACCGATCATTCTGGATCACGTTTGAGATGGAAAATGAATTGTACCTGCTTTTTATGAGTTTCGTCTCATCAGCCTCCATTTCCCAAGATATGAGTGATGACTCATGTCCACGATTTCTTCCTAAGGGGAACTGTTTGCTACTTTACACTGAAATCGGCCCAAAGATGCAGTTAGGCTACTAGTTTTAATAAGGCGGAAGATCAGATGATCTGAAAACTATGGCACTATATATACCAAGATATGTCAAATATAACATCCATTTATTTAAATGTTAAGCTGAGCTTAGAAAAGAGAACTCCCCAGGTGAGAGAAACAAAGAGAGCATTTAAAAATAGAACAGATGGCATAAGTAGACTGCCAGAGTTAGAGAGTAACAGAATATGGGATGGGTGAGAGGGAGGAGGAGGGAAAGGGGGGCCAGAAGGGATGTAACACCCTTGGGCTGGGGTGCCAGTGGGGTCCCCAAAGAAACAACTCAAAGTTTATCTAGAAGGACTCTTCTGAAAACTAGGTGATGGAGGAACCTTGCGGAACAATCACGCATGGTAGATTAGGGAAGCTGGCTTCCAAACTAGCCCCCCTGATCCCCAGTCTTGGAATTCATGCCCTGCTTACCACTCCCTTCTCAACTGAGTAGGACTGGCCTGCGTAAGCAGTGTCCCGCATAGCAATGCCCGTGTGCGGTTTCCAAAGGTAGGCTTCTAGTGTGTTGTCTTGGATCATTCACTCTGAGGGAAGCCAGGTACCAAGTGAAAATGATATTCAAGAAGCCCTGTGGAGAAAGTCCAAGAAATAATACTTCCTGCCAACAGCAGCACTAACTCCCTAGGCCTGTGAACAAGCCCCACTGGAAGCAGATCCTCAGGGTGTCAAGCCTTCAGAGGACTGCAGTCGTGGCTGACATTGTAAGGACACCTTGTGGGACTCTCAGTCAGCCTCACCAAGCTAAACCCCTTCTGCATTTCAGGCTCATAGAAATTGTGTGAGATACTAAGTGTTTACTAGTTTAAACTTTTAAGGTTTGTAGAAATCTGTTAATGAAAAAGAAAAGTAATAAACAAATAATTAAAAATATTAAATCCAAGCCTTAAGAAAAATAAATGACATTGTTAAAAAATAAAAACAGAAACAAAAACCCCAGAAAATTTTGGAAAAAGAAAAATCAAATTGGCCTTCTTGATATGAGAAATAAAATCAATGAAATAAAAATATCAGTGGATGAATTAAATAGCTGTAGGACAACATCAATATTGTAATTAGTCAAATGGAAAATAGCTATGAGGAAATTTCAGGGTGCAGCATATAGACATAGAGGAGGGAAATGAGAAAGGTAGATTTATTTGAAGGATAGATCATAAAAACTAATGGAATTCCAGAGAGTGACAACGACAATTGATGAGAAGCAATTTTCAAGGTATAATTGCTTAGAATTAATGTAGCAGATGGATTTAAGAATCTTAGAGGGATGATGACATTGTAACGTATAAACACGTAGAATCACTATATATTACATTTGAAACTAATATGACCAATATAAGATTATATACCAACCAAACTTAAATAAAAAATAAATTTAAAAAGAATACTAGTGAACCTCATGCAAATATTATAATAAGAATAAATCCAGGTCTGGGCTCATGGAAATGAGTTAGTAAAACAACAAAGAAAAGAGATTATGTTAGGGAGTGGGAACAGGAGGGAGAGGTCAATAGGGGGAAAAGGGGGACATCTGTAATACTTTCAACAATAAAGAGAAATTAAAAAATAAATAAATACAGTCAGAGATTAAAATACAATTATAAAAGAACCACAATTAGACTGACTGATAGCTGACTTCACAAGAGCAAGAGTGGAGTCAGAAGACATCTGAATGTTATATTCAAAGTTCTGAGAAATTATAACTTAGTTTAGAGCAAAACAAAACTCAGGAATGAGGTGAAAAAAGGCTTTCAGAGAACAACATCCAAAATTAAACAAACAATGACTTTTCTGTACCAGACTATTTGGTTCTACCAAATGGACTATATAAATGTGAACATCAGAAAGAGACAAAATGAACTCAACAAGGGCAGATGGCAAACACATGGGTATACCTAGATATGCCAATGGATGTTGAGCGTGGAATACAACCAGAATATACACTGCTGAGAAACATAGAAATTGGTGCAATTATTTTGGAAACAGTTTGGCGTTATCCGGTTGACTCTGTGCGTACTCTGTGACCAAGGAGCTCCACTCCTAGATACAGCAAGAGAAATGTACAAATCAAATAAACAAAACCTCAAACTAAGTCAGTTCAAAAACCATTCATGGCTAAACATGTAATATATTCATACAGTGAAATATTATACAACAGTCAAAATAACTGAAACACACATGATCATGGATGAGTTAACACACAATGTTGGGTAAAAGATCAAGTTGCAGAAGATTAAGTACAGAATGAGTCCACTCATTTAAAATTCACATCTAAACAACAGTATATTTATTTAGAAAGGACCTACATGGCTCTGGTCGGTGTGGCTCAGTGGGCTGGAGCATCATCCTTATAACAAAAGGTTGAGGGTTTGATTCCTGGTCAGGGCACATACCTAGGTTGTGGGATCGATCCCCAGTTGGGGCACATATGGAAAGTAACCAATAGATGTCCTCTCTCACATCGATCTCTCTCTTTCCCCCCCCACCCTTTGCTCTAAAATCAATAAGCATATCTTCAGGTGAGGAATAAAAAAATAAAAATAATAAGACCTACATGTTGCTCATGGTATCATGGTATACAATCTCCATTCTAAGTGTTTCACAATGTTAACACATTTAATCACATAATGAGTAATAAATAAGAGTTATAAAAATTGTTTAGTATCTATGCAAATGAGCTGAGTGATCATCTCTATCATAAGCTTATGCTATGGAACTGCAATGAAGGACTTTCCTCACTGCCTTGTCCACTAGTCTATAAACTATTTTATGGTAGTGATTGCATATTTGGCTTTAAATCCATTGCGCTTACTATGTGCATGACATAGGGACGTTATTAATAAATGTTTTTAAAATAATTTATTATACAAATTAACTTTTCTAAGTTTCTTCTAAATTCTTTAATTTCAGAAACTACTTCTTTAATTGTTTAAATACTTCTAGATGAACACTTCTGGTGTGGGTCTCCTTGCAACTTTGAATCTTGAATATGCAAGGATGTGTGAAACAAAGATGAGGAGACAGCAGATTCTTTGTAGCAGTGGAAGAACGAAGTCCATTTACCTGGTGGACTAGAAGGTTTAATCAGACCTGGACTCTAGTTCCTTATGCCAGCATCTGGACCTCCCTTGGTCCCTACTGATGTTCTAAGCCCTGGTCTTAGGCCTCCTATATATTCAGTGAGCTCTGAATAGTTTTTCAATAATTTTCATCTGTACCTTCACCTGTTTTTGTAATCAAAGATATCCAGAGTTATTTGCCATTGCTAAGACCAAGAACCCCAACTTATTTGCTTATATAAGGAAGTTCAGGAGATTAGCAAATACTATCAAATACTTTATTATGTTGAATGTGAAGCATCTTAGAAAAGCTTATTGTGTAAAATCTGTAAAGAAATGAAATATCTGCTAACTGACACCTACATATTCTTTCTTATCAAGGTAATTTGCCAGTGGACCTTCCAACTCCACCAGAAACTTCAATTCCAGTAACATTACCTCCACACAACTGTACAGACAATGAATTTGTCTGCAGGTCCAATGGTCACTGTGTTGAAAAAATCCAGAAATGTGATTTTAGATATGACTGCCCTGACAAATCAGATGAATCATTTTGTGGTAAGTAAATTCTTAATTTTTTATTAAATATAGCCATCAAGCAGATAAGAAAATACCAGTATAATCTCTAGGTAGCATGGAGTAGTGTCCTAGTTAGAAATTTTCAACCTGGCTTATAGCCATTTCTTTCTATGAAAGTTAATTGTATAGAAAATTATGATAGAATAATTAGCATGCATTCTTCCATGATGCCCCAAAAGAGGTGAGTGTCTTTAAATTTATGTTTTGGATTCAAAACACTTGTTTTCATGGAATTTACTTGACTGCAGGACTATTGTACTATCTCTTTTCTATCTATCCCCCTGTTGGTCTCTATTCTACTTACACTCATGAAATAGTAATGTTTAAGGAGGAAGCATTATAAAACCCTTAAGTCAGATGAATTTGTTCAAATTCTCCCATTGCCAAAGTGCACGTATAACATGATGCCTATGTCAAATATTCAGAGTTCATAAGAAACTCATTCTAATAAAGATTGGCCCTCCAACACCTGCGTCCTGTTGAAAGATTATTTTCATTTACTGCTACCTGTCAATCCACAGATTTTCCAGAATGGGTCAGAGGAAAATTATTACTTTAAAAGTGAACTTCTCAGCCAAAGATATGGTCTGAGGAAAAAAGTTAATCTATGTCTGAATGGGCAAAGCACAAAATCAAGAGGGGTGAACACTGATATTTTCCTTTCCCTGCTCTTTATTTAGTAGTATGTGAATTTACTGTACTATAGTAGTTCTCAAGGGCCCTGATAATATTAAGAGATCAGAACATATAGATAATATGAAGTCTAGTGAAACCCTAATCTGTTGTTTTACGTCGGCCTTGTTAAGAAATTCTAGGACTTAAAAAAAATTAAAAATGGTCATATTTATTCTTTTAACCTAGAAAAAAGTCTCTTAGTGAATTAATTAATTAATTAACTAATTAATCCAAACTAAAAAACTCATAAAATCATAGCTGACTTATTCTGTGAACGAGATAGGACAGTAATTAACTCACGGGGCTAGAGATACATACTGTTCATCACAGATGGAAGATAATATAATGGAAGACCTTATGGTATTCACACTTGTTCATGGGAAGACACTAAAATCCTCTTATGATCATACATAAGTTGTGGTGTTTGTAAAATTTACACAAAATCTAATTAATCACACCTAATGAATGTCTTTTGTGCATACTGACTTTCCTCTTAGTTCAATTTAACAATTTTAGTGATGTCATTTATGGTTGAATGGAAAGTTTTGATAAGTTTTTTAAATGTCCTAAGTCAATATTTACTATTAAATTATTACTTTTAAATCACAGGGATATTTATTTACTTTGAATAAATGTGCATTGAATTATTACCATTTCATTTCTAAGTGCATTGTGTGATCTTGCCTCTTCCATCTCTTTATAAGATGAAATATGATAAATATATCTGTTACCTACAGTCTTACATTTTCTAATGTTTTTTATTGTGATAAGAATATAACATGAGATCCACCATCTTAACAATTGATTGATTGATTGATTGATTGTAGAGAGACAGAGAGGGAGAGAGAGTGCATATTTTCATACACAACCTATGTATTTTAAAAAAATGAACTTGTAATTTTGTGTAATGTTAGAATATAGTCATTACAAAAACAGTGAAAACTTTCAAGTACAGAGGTCCAATATAAAAGTTATTGTAAACCTTATTGCTTTCAACTTAAGTAGTTCGGAATTTGGAAACACCCCTTTAAAGACTGGACTAAAGTTTAGGTTTGTTAATGTTACTGTGAAAAAAGAACAGACTCATCAGAACTTGGAGGTCATGCAAGCAATGCACGTGTTATGTTAGAAGAGGCTGTCAATGCTTAAGTTGCTGCTTTAGGAGCTAATTAAAATCTCACTACCTTATGAAAGCAGATTCTTTTTCCCAATATTTCAGTTACTATAGGTATTTTATTCAAATAAAGTAGATTTCTTCAAAACTCTTCTAGTAATTATACAAATCATTTGCCTAATTATATTATGTTAAAGCTAGACTATAATTTTAAAAAAGCCCAAGAGTAAGAAAGTGTTGATGCAGATAGAAATCACCATTTATTGACACATTTATTTTGAGTTGCTGATCTTGTCTTTGTTCCATCCTATACAAGTGATGGAACTTTGCAGTTTTGAAAAAGGAAGCCTGTGTAAATGGTACCAGCCGATCCCTGAAAATTTAATTCAAGACTCAAACACATTCAGGTGGGGACTTGGTAATGGAACCAGCATTCATCATGGGGAAGAGAACCACAGGCCATCGGTGGATCATACAAAGTAAGTGACTACAGACTGTATTTTGAACATGTCTCTTAGGAACTGCTCACTAAGCGGTTCCCAAATTCCCACCCCGCCACTTTACCCTAGGCCGGTGCTATCGTAAAGATGGAAGTTTAATTTAGAGTGGGAGGGCGTAAGTATATTCTTTCATATAAAATTTTAAAAAGTAGTTAAAAAGGAGCGAATGCTCTTGTGAAAGTCATAGGAACTAGAGAAAAACATAAGAAAAACAATTTGTAACATCGCCACTGATTAAAAAGCACAATTAATATGTGTTTTAAAATGATCTCTCCATTCCTCGCCTCTTCCCCATCTCCCCCTTTCCACCCCTCCTTCACCTCCTTGCCACTTTCCCTTGTCCTCCAGTCTTTGCTCTTCAGCATCATGTATTTTGGTCTTTTCTTGGTCTTAATTCACACCTTTCCCCTATTTTGTTGTCCACAAATATATCCAATGCTCACTGTTCTACAAGATCCCGGCCTTCTTTCCTTTTAATGATTTCAAGGAAATGTTACTGAAGGCAGCAAAGGAATCCCCATTTTTATCCCAGAGAATCTTTTCAAAACCTTTGTGCCCCCAACTTCTCCACTGTTAAAGCTTCGTTACCCCCAGCTTCTACAGCTATTGCTTCAGAGAAAACGGAGGGCGTGCCCGCTGCCCAGCCCGCTGCCTTGTCCTCAGGAGAGCCAGGATACCTTTCGTGCACGATGATTTTTCTTTCCCTGGGCCGAATTTCTCACCCTAGTTTTCTGAGCTCTCTTTTGTTGTTGTTTTTGTTCTAGTAAAGTGGTTCCAGTTTTACCAACATTTGATTCAGCATTAGCGGTCAAGCTGCCCAAAATATATAGAGTAGCAGATATCAGTACTTTGCTTTGATCACATATGACAGTTTGACAAGTAATTTTCAAAATTTCAACATACAGATTTTTCTTGGGCTGCTTCTGATTCATAAAAAAAGCAATGGCTAATTTCAGAAACTTTCTCTGCCTCATGCAAATAAATCATGCCTCATTAATACTCTGTATTTCCATGAAGAAAGGCAGACTAGAATCTCACTCTTACGTGGTAACGTTATAGATAGAAATATGGTAACATATTATAAACTCAGTAATATTATTAATTTTTAATGTTTGTCTCTCACGCTCCCACCCCTAAGAAACTGCATGTTCCCTGAATAATCTGATTTCCCACTGTATTGCATTATTTCTAAGTGACTACTATGCAATAGGTCCCCATGATTATTTGTTGAATGAATTAGTTGATGATTAGGATCTATATATTTATGCTTTATAATTATAAACTACAAAGCACAACATTAAACATATTTTAAATAGGAATGTTTAATAGTCAGAAAATGTTTAACAGATGTGCTTTACATGACAATTGCTACTGGCCTTAACCAGATCCAAAGTTGCCAGCCAAAAGACAACTTTGAGGTGATTTTATGAGGAGAAACTTTATCATTTGCCAGCTCGCAAGGAACTTGCTGGGGTTGCTCCCAGAGCAGTGTGTCCCTGAACTTGGATTCGTCACCCTTCAGGGAAATCATGTATAAACATCACAGTGAACTTGTCATCACATGTATAGGTGGGAACATCCCTGTGCTTGCGCAGTTAGCAAACATGCCTATACATACATCGCATGTTCAAAAATGGTGGAAAATCTCCACTCCTGGGATGCGATTTTAGCATTGAGAAACATCTGTTATATCCATGATGATATAATGAGAAGAGTTCATGAGGAGGTCAGTAAGGGTCCTCAAGGCCACTTTGGCAGCCCCGGGTTGTTTGAGCCAGATTAACCCCCTGATTCTGCAGACCATCCCCCAGGTTTCCCTCAAAAGACTGGTCTGGCAATTGTCAAAATTAGGGATGAAATAGGTATGTAATAAATTTTAATTTAGTTTCAACCCTTCTGGAAACTTTTAGCAAATTACAGGATGATCTAAGTGGGTTTACAGGATAATTTGAGCAAAGTTATGAATTCTAAATACATTTGTCTCTGCCAGGTGACCCGCGAGGTTGTAAACATATATTAGGTTACACAGTGAATCCTGGAGGAGCAGTCCCTAAGGTTACATCTCCTCTAGCCTTCCTCTCCCCTTCCCTCTAGGCTTCAAGGAAGGTTTGACATTTTTTACTTGTGGTAAGAAATAGTTCTATGCATCATATACCATATTCTATATGGCTTATAGTAAAACTCCAAGTTCCGTTTTCCAAATTTTGTTCTTTATATTTAAAGGAAAGCTATTCTAATTTAGAAAATGTTTTTCTCTCTCAGGTATCTGGCTCTTGAAATCTAAAGCCAGGTTTTAAAGACCATTGTGTCTGAATAGTTTTAAAGGCCAGTTTTACAAATAATAAAGCTTGCCCGGGTGGCATGGCCCAGCCGTTGAGCATCAATCTATGATGGGGGAGATCCAGGTTTGATTCCAGGTCAGGGCACATGCCCGGGTTGCGACCCGATCCCCAGTCGGGCAGGAGGCAGCCGAAAACTGAGTCTCTCATCATTGATGTTTCTATCTCCCTCTCTCCCTCTCCCTTCCTCTCTTTGAAATAGATAAAGGTGTATTAAAACAAAACAAGACAAAACAAAAAACAAACAAAAAGGCTGTGTACCAAGTCTTTCTTGCTCTTCACATTCCATGATCCCAGTTCCCCCTAAGGCAAAGATTGCTTCTGGCACAGGTTGGTGATGGTCATTCATAAGCAAGTACAAAAGAAAACAAGTGCATGAACATATTTGAAAATATTCTCTCACTTTATACACTTAATGAAGCAATAAAAAGCCTAGAAAAGTTATGGTGGTGTAAGAATATGGAGGGAAGTTCTCATTGTGTAGTCCAGTCTTAGATAAGGTCTTACAATGTGTTTTTCATCATGAAAATGAAGTGGTAAGAGCTAAATAAAGTGCCATTCCAAGGGATATTCCACTGTTTTCTGTGTGTGCACACTTTAATGGACTAGTCTTTTTTCCTGAAGATCTAGAGTTAATTCCATACAGCTAGTTTATTCAACACTTTTATAAGACGTAGAAAAAGTCATCTCTTTTTTCTCGGGCTGGGCATCTGCAGCCATGGCCTTGGCACAGGTCTTGGTGAATGGATTCTCCCTTCACCCTGCTCAGTAGGAACGAACTAAAGGTACCTGGCATAATTTTTTTCTAGGCTTGAACTCAAGGCATATAGAAATAAATATTGCTCTCAATTATAATCCAGTGAAATAATAAAGTGCATTCAGCATAAATATATTAGTAGCAATTTGCATGTACTTTTGAGATGGAGGCTGGATGAAATTTGCATTTTCTTTAACTTATGCAGTGAAAAAGAACATTTAGTAGAAAAGTTATTTTCTTAGTATTTTGGAAAAAGAACCACGCTTGTAAAAATGGATTTTAAAAAAAGGAAGAAAAATGAGTCATATTATTCATTCTGCAAGAAATACTAGAGAACTTGGGAAATACATTAATCGTACTCAGCTGAGAACATTAAAAAATTATTTGCTTATCATTGAATCAAGATATTTGAATGATCGAGCATCCAAGCTTTCTAGATAATTCCAATTGAAATGTTAAGAATATTGTAGATTTGGAAAATTGTGTAATGATTCTTCTCAGTTTGTAATTTCATGTGATCTCAGAATCTTCTACTCTGACCTCAACAGTCAATTTATTTGGCCAAGTCTATTAGCCCAGGAGATTTTATCATAGTACATAAATTGGTTCATAGCTAAGTAACATAAATTTTATGATCATTTTATCTCAGAGAAAGTGCTTTTGACCCAATTTATTCATTTTGTGCTGCAAGAAGGCAAGGAGAGCAAAGTTCTGAGTCCTTGATCTCTAAATCCATTTTATTTCACTAAATGCTCATTTGTTGGTTAAATAAAGTTTAATATTAAGATTTATTCAGAATATGAAACACTTCCCTTGGACAACATTATGATCTCCACACTGTTTGTTCATATGGAATGATGTGTAGTAGAGCATGTGTTTATGTGCTGGGTCAGATGTTTCTAACAGTACTCATAGAAGTCTCAGGGAAGTTTCTTCAAGATGTGGATTGAGGCCCACTGAAAATTTATACATACATAAAATATATTTAAATGCAGATAAAAAAACTCAGGAATAAAGCTGGGAATCTGTATTTTAGTATAGTTTCTAAATGGTTCTAGAACTTCATGTTTAGGGTCCTCCAGAGCAGGAAATGGGGAAGATATGGCCGAAAGACAGAAAGTAGCTTTCTTAGCCCCTAATTCCAATGTTGATGAGAGTAGATTAATTTTTCTCTAAATCTAGTGACTAAGTAAAAAAAATGTACAAAATGTTCCAGGACAAACAAAGAAAAAAAAGTCTTCTAGGTAATTGCATTTAAAAATAAAATATAATTTGTGTGCTGTAAAATAACTGTTATAACTGAGAAATAGTTTGGGAGAAAACTCTTTACTCTGAGTAATTCTAAAAGTAATTTCAAGGCACCCTCTACATTGCCTCGTTCATTGTATAATACCCAACATCTTTTCTCAAACCTTTTTCCTACCTGTTCTCTTCTCTAATTCCAATCAAAATGACCCCTGTCTCTGTTGGATCAAATGTACTACCAATCTCATGATTATTTGGAAAAAACAGATATTTTAAAATATTTTTGAATTTAAGACTTGATTACAGATTGTTGTTAAACTATTTGAATATGAGGCATCTCATTAAAAATACGAATTAGATGAACACAATTTTCTTAAGTATTATGCTTATTTGTAAAGTAGAGGTATTTTTTTCTTAGATTTTTCTTTTTTATGTGTAACACCTATCATTATCTTTGAGGTATAAATGAGTTATAGTACTCATTGTGGCAAATGCACCTATATTCCTATATATATTATGCATTTGTATAGTCTTGACATCATAAACTAAAAGTTACATAGATAATGCAAATCGCCTCTTTGACATAACTGTGCATATCATAATCTACCTAAGTGTTGGATATAAATGTGGATGAAAAA